TTTAATTATTAAAAGGTATATACTTACTATTGCTATTTTGTTCATTGTTTTGTAATTCTTTTGTTCCTTTCTTTCTCTCTTGCTCCCTTCCTTTGTGATTTGATGATTTTCTGTAGCCGTATGCATTGATTCCTTTATCTTTTATGTATCTACTNTGTAATTCTTTTGTTCCTTTCTTTCTCTCTTTCTCTCTTGCTCCCTTCCTTTGTGATTTGATGATTTTCTGTAGCCGTATGCATTGATTCCTTTATCTTTTATGTATCTACTATAGATTACTTTATCACAAGGCTTCCATAAAACATCTTCTATTTATAACAGTCTGTTTTAAGCTGATAACATCAAATGCATACAAAAGCTCTACATTTTTGCACTCTCCTCTTCATATTTTGTTTTTGATGGCACAATTTAAATCTTTTTACATTGTATACCCATTAACAAGTTATTGTAGTATAGTCATTTTTTACACTTTAACCTTCATATTAGAGTCATAAGTGATTTACCCACCAGGTAAATCACTGTTTGGCACTCTTTAATATTTTCTCCTTGTTGAAATTCTCACTTTGTTCATATATTGTTCTCCTGCCTTTGGTGAACATCTCTATGATTCTTATTTTGAACACTCTATCAAGTAAATCACTTACGTTCATTAAACTCTGTTTCTGGATATTTCTCTTGTTCTTTTGTTTGAACCATATTCCTGTTTCTTTATTTTCTTTGACTCTCTGATAGTTTCTAAACATGAGATAAAACAGCCACCTCTCCTAGTCTTGATAGAATATTCTCATTATGAAAATGAACCACTTCAGTCAGCCCGGCCCAAGCCTCTAGTTGTCTCTCAAGCCTCTGAAATTATCCAAGCCACCTGCCTTGTTCTTAGTGGCTTCCAGGAGTTGAGGACGTGCCAAAACCCATCAGTGTCCCAAAGGTGAGAATGGCAATCAGCACCGAGATGCAGACTGATTATAAACTGGACCCTCAGGAAGCAGCTGGGCAATTACGTAGTTAAGCCCCTTCTGAGGAGACAATGGAAGACGAGTGTTTTTGCCTGCTCCCTCAGTGCTGGGCCTGAATAGAGCTGTGGGGAGGGGATACTCCTGCATCTGTTAAGAATGACTTCATTTGATACAGTACCGTGGGACTGAGGAATATAAACCCCACTGGCTCCCAGAGCCATATAATCTGGCGGCCCATCCCTCGGGCAGCAGCCACAAAAGCTGGGGTGCCACCCACTTGTAAAACCACCTTCCAGGGAAACACTGGTGACTTGGTTTTGTCGTTGGAGTGGGCTGGAGAGAGAGGGCAGGACAGGTGTCTGCTGTTTCCCAGACTGGGAAGGATTGCAGCCATCACTAGATATGTGCTCAAGTTAGAAACCTCATTCCCAGGTAGTAGCTTTTAAAGCTTGTGGGAGTTTCTGCCTGCTCCCTCTGCTCTAACCCCTGGGAGAAGGGGTGAGCGCTCCTGCACTTGTGAATAACTGGGTTTTGTTTTGCTCTGTTCTTAAAGATCTCATGGACACAATCCCCACTAGCTTTCAGAGCTAGATATTTAGGGAGTCTTAAGGTTGGGAAAGTATCACAAATGTTGGCAAAGTCCTGATGCTAGATTTGGGGTCCATACCCTTTGCTCCTCAGGGAAAAGCTGGCCGTTGGAGGTTTGCTCCTGATGGTATGGCACTGGGCTGGGGGCGTATGTCGAGTGCATCCCAGCCTTTCCTAGCCATTTCGGTGTGAGTGTTCTCTCATTGGCCCAATGTGTAGGAGCTGCTCAGCTAGTTTCTGGATCACTTTCATTAGGAACTGCTTTGGTACAGCTATACATTCACCGTGTCTGTAGGAGGAGGGGAGCTCAGGAGCCCCACGCCACCATCTTAGTCACCTCTGCAATTTTCTATTATTTTAGCTATTTCTTTTGTCAATTAAATCCATATTTCTAGACTGACCATTTCTCAGGATGGTCACATAGTCAAGTGACCTATTTGCTGTTCCATGTATTTTTTTATGGCAACATCCCCTGGAATTCCTCACCATCATCATTTGCCTCTCTCCTATGTTGAATACCTAACTCATACATGCCATGTCTCCCTTCTTTATTCCCTCAGATTGTGGTACTTGAGAAATACATCTTGAGAAAAGCTTATAGAAGATGATATTTTTGAGTCTTTGCAGGTCTGAAAATACCTGTTTTACTCTAATACTATTACTTAGCTAGACATGGAGTCTTAGAATACAATGAAGACTTTTGGAGGCATTGTTCCATTGTTTTCTAACTTCCAGAGCTGCTAGGGAAGTTGACTGTTATTCAGATTCTGGGTCTTTTGAATGGGACCTATTTCCTTCTCAGAAACTTTTAAGATCATTTCTTTATCCCCAAACTGAAATTTTGCAACGTCTGCTTTGGATAGTTTTTTTTCTTTTCATCTTTCTGGGTGTACATTAGGCCTTTTAAATCTGGAAATCCATGTCTTTCAGTTCTGAGAAATTACATATTTCTAGGATAATTTCCCATCCTTTTCCCCTCCTGTCTCTTCTAGAACTCACTACTCAGCCATTGTATTCCCTGAAATAATCCAATTTCCTTTTCTCTCATTTCTCATCTCTTTGATTTTTTGTTCTTGTATTTGTAAAATTTCCTTAACTCGATCTTCCCAAACTTCTTCAAAGTATTACTTATTCTATACTTATTTTAAATAACTTTCTTGTCCTTTATAAATTTTGAAAATAGCATCCTGTGCTTTTAATTCCCATGGACAATCAACATTGACCTACAGTGTCATAAATCTTGATAGTGTGCTTTTGGGGAAAACTTTGCCATTTCAAATCTTCTCTCTATATAGGGTTTAATCAGTCAAAAGCATCTGCCTTTTAGTTCCCATGCTGTTAATTAAATTTAGTTTAAAATGATTTCTTCAAAACTTGTCAACTACCACAAAATGTTGGCTCAAAAACAAAGTTTCATAGGAGTATTTGTGGCCACTCTACAAGTGGAGCTGAAGTGTAAATAACCACAAAGTAAAACGACAGAAGACAAGTCCAGCAATCAGAGTTGGCCGAAGCACAGGGCTCTTGGCAATGGCCTGGAATGTGGAAAGCACTGCCCGCTTGAATCAAAGTCCAGATGCCTGTAATTTCTTTTTTCCATTATCAGTTCATCATACTGGCTTGTTTTTGTTTTAAGGTCATCAGGCTTCTGAGCATGAATTTCATCTCTAGAAAATATTCCATGCCAAAATACCCTATGTATGTGCAATTTATTTAAATAAGTAACCTGGGTGGTTTTATATCAGCATTCTCGTATTGCAAATGACAGTGGCACCTTATATCAGTTGATTAGTTTGGAAAATGTGTGGATGTGCAGTCTTTCACTAAAAACTCTGTTTTAACCCTCATTTCGCAAAGTTTGTAAAAGCAGATAGTACAATGGTTAAGAGCCTCACCATTCTTAACTGAAAAAACAGGATCTCCTGGGATGTTACTTTACTATGCAGACTGATTCATGTGTCTGACGCATAGTAAGTAAGCACCCCTACAGTGGCTGCCATTGTGGTAACGCTAGAATCCATCTTCTAGATTCCAACATCGTGCTAAAGCAGTGCCTCGGCAGTCAAAAACCTGCTTCCTGGAGCCCAGAGCTCTGTCATTGCTCAGCTGGTATACTCTGTACCAAACCGAGAGCTGTCATCCTTCTGTTTTTCACTTATTAAATACCTTTCTCGTCTGTGTGTTCTGCATTCTTACTCAGTTACAAACTTCTCAAAAATGGGAATTATCTCCCAAATGCCTTGTACAAATTTGAGACTCACCATACTACCTATCAGCTGACTCGTTGATTTTACATCCAGAATACTTTCCTGCTAAGGGTGCTACTTGAACTCCTAGTTTAATTTCTGCAAACGGCAAATAACTTTCTGGGTTTGTCTTTTTTTATCCTCACTCTAAGATATGTTTGTTGACTTTAGAGGGAGGGAGGGGGAAGGAAAGAGAGACAGAAACATCTATGTAAGAAACATTCATCTGTTGCCTCCTGTATGCGCCCCAGCCGGGGATTGAACCCGCAACCTAGGTATGTGCCCTGACCATGAATTGAACCCACAACTCTCTTTGGTGTACAAGACAATGTTCCAACCAACTGAGCGACCCTGCCAGGACTTGTTTTGTTTTTTAACGTAAAGGCTAAGAGTTATGAATCTGGTTTACAGAGAGAGAGAAAAGTCTGTTTTTGTGCCCATGCCCTTCAAGAGGTGACACTTCCATGCCCCTATTCTGGAGATGCTGTGGCTTCCTGTGACCCACAGAAGACCTGAGTTCCAGGAGGTACAACCAGGAAGTCCTTGTAAAGGAATACTTTCATATGCATCTGTTTCCATAGCTTAGTCTACTAGTTTTCAAATGTCAGTGGAGGCAAGACTCATCTCAGGAACTTGTTAAAAAATCTTACTTGGATCGCCTTAAAAACTTATTTCAGTAGGTAGGATGGAGCAAAGAGTCTGCATTTAAAACAAACTCTCCCCACTGCTGTTCTGATATGTGATTCTGACATAGGGAGTACAAGCCCCTCAAAGAGGAGCATTGCCTAAGTTTCTGGGGGAGGGGATCAAAGGAACAAAAAGGAAATCTTTCTACTTCTTTCCCCCAGGAAGTAGCTATAACACCTGAAGGAAACAGGGTCCCTGTTGCTGGAATTAACGTGGGTCCACCACATAACTCTTTCCTATGTATCCATTACCAATTTGCCCAGTTATTTCTACTAAGTTGGAATTTTTAAAAAAACAACTATCTTTTTTTGTTAACTTAACCCTGTTCTTATAGAAAACATCAGACAAGCTGTTTAGAAAGTAAGATTCAATAGGGTTTTTTTCCCTCATGCTTCTAGAACGTATGTCCACTCACTGTCACCATGACTTCAAAAGAGACTCAGGAAGATGTTAGGGTAATGAGGGACTGTTGTTTCCTACCCCTGAAGAATATGTTAAGTTTTATTTTAATTTCCCCCCTACACAGCTATGAATTCCTGGTGAAACCAAAAAACCCACTTGGAGAAGGCCCACCCAGCAACACAGTGGCATTCAGCACTGAATCAGGTAATCACATCAAGGACGTGAAGGGCCTCAATGCTTTGCAATAGGGAGCTTGTTTGGAACCCAGCCAAACACTGTGTACAGTTTCTTGAATTTCAAAAAATCATCTATGGGACAAAGCCAATTGATGAAGGTATCCAGAAGGAAAGACCACTTATGTTTTTCCTCATTTATTCTGACGTAAGGAAAATGGTTAGGAGTATCAGTTTAAGTGTTTAATCTATACTCAAAAATCTAGTGAATGAATGCTCTTCTGTATGACATGCTGGGCCATAGTACATCCAGAAAGGGGATACATTTGATACATTCGTTTCATGATAAGCAGCTATGAAATTCTTATGTAACCTTCCAGCTCCAATTCCCTGAGATACAGCTGTACTCACAGCATCATTTGTATAATTTTTCATGGCATCTTGGTAATTTTATCAGTTTCTGTATGAAACTAAAAGAGGAAGCTTTTAAAATGGAAGTGAAACCTAGCACCGCAATGAAGATGTCTACTCAAATCACAAATAAAAGATACAGCTGACTATCTGGCAGAAGATTTCCAACGGAGAGCAATTTCCAAAACCACACACACACACTTCCCAATTCCCTTTTAGAAAGTGTGTACCATTTTGCGAGTAAAATTTCCTAACTGTAAGCACCCACCTTCTTCACTGTGCCACTGGAACACTGAGACCTACTTACCTACTAACATCTCACTGTGTTGCTATTTCTCCTCAGCGGATCCGAGAGTGAGCGAGCCGGTTTCTGGTGAGTACCTGTCTCGATGTGAACACAACTACATGCTTTTCTAAACTGATGCAACTACACAGACTTGGCGGAATTTTAGTCATGATTTCACTTTAGCCCCTTTAGTCTTTGAATATCAATCAGTCACGAATGCTCATCCAAATCATCCAGTTTCATAAAGAGCCTATGATGTTTTGGGAACAGGTTGGATATTTTGAAATTTGCTTTCACTCATGTACCAAATTTTCTGTTCAAGAATTGTCAAGGTTAATACCCTTGTTTCCACTTTTAATAAGTCATATTAGAGAAGCTGTTTAAATTGTATTTGCTGCAACACAAAACAAAACCTGAATTTCCTCAGGATGCAATCTATATCTAGCACTGCAAAGGCTATTCAACACCAAAAGTATTCCTCTAAGATTTATACCACTCCTGACAGGAACTTAATTGGGGCTTTAAATTCCTATAATATTTTTGGCTCCAATATTTAGCATTGGAGAAAACCAGGTATCATCGAGTTGACAGTGAACTTTGCAAACTATTTGTTTTTTAAGCTTTTAGGACAGTTCTTCAATGCCCAAAGTCAGATACTAAACTCAAACCTTGTATTTTCCTTATGCAGGAGGAAGAGATGCCATCTGGACAGAAAGACCCTTTGATTCAGACTCTTACTCAGAATGTAAAGGCAAACAATACGTCAAAAGGACATGGTATAAAAAGTTTGTAGGGGTGCAGCTGTGCAACTCTCTCAGATACAAGATTTATCTCAGCGACTCCCTTACAGGTAAGCAAGACTACCAGCTGTTTTGAATCTTGTCCTGCACGGAATGCGTTGTAGCATTCTGTAACTTGGCCTTTTCTTTGGACAAACTAAGGTCTGATGTAAATACAAATTTTCTTTTTGAGCAAGATGTTATTGAAACAGCCTAGAACAAGGGCTTCATAGATGCTATTAGAAGGTAAACAATGAAAGTGCAATTGGAACAGTGGCATAGCAAACTTGAATGTAAAGACATTGTAGTAACATTCAAGCTCAATTTTGTCACAGCCAATCAAGGATAAAAACCCTACTGATAAGGGGTAGAGGTTGGAAGGGGGTCTTAATATATGGTGACAGGAGAAGATATGGCTTTGGGTGGTGGGCACACAGAGCAACACACAGATTTTATAACATAGAAACCCACACCTGAAACCTATATGCTCATATTGACCATTGTCACCCCAATAAATTTAATTAAAAAAATAAATTTTAAAAGGGAAAAAAACCCTACTGATAAAAACATGGGTGTATCTAATAGTAATCAAGGAAGGAATATGACAATTAAAATTTTAAGCCTGCTAAAGACAAGATCAAGATTATGACACCTGGCTGGAAAGGCTATAATTCTTTGCTCCAGACTCAGTGAGTTATTTTCTCTTCTGTAATCCTACAATAAAAATTTTAAATAAGGCTGGGCCCAACATAGAAAGGTAGACATTTGTTCAATCATTCAATAACTAGTATCTGCTTTATTCAGACTCTGTTCCAGGTGCTGAGGACAAGCCAACAAAAGACACAAGCCTTCTTGTAGCTTACAATCTAGTTGGAAGAGAGACAACAAATGTGTAAATAAGAATTTCACATAGTGCTTTGAAAAAACTTAGAGTGGGAGAAAATGGCTGAAATGGAAGCTCCTTTAGTTAGAAGGGTTAGGAAAAGCCTCTGAAAAGGTAAAACTTGCTGACCGGGCGTAGCTCAGTGGTAGAGCATGGACCTAGGATCCAGGAGATTGAGGTTCAATTCCCGGTCAGGGCACAGGCCCGGGTTGCAGGCTCGATCCCCAGTCGGGGGTGTGCAGGAGGCAGCCGATCAGCGGCAACTCTCACCATTGATGTTCCTCTCCCTCTCGCTTCCTCTCTCTGAAATCAATAAAGATTTTGGGTTTTTTAAAGTAATACTTGTGCTAGGAAGAAAACTATGAGAAGGCACCAAGCAAGCAAAGATCTGGGGTAAAGCAGAGGTAGAGGGAAGAGAAACGCCAAAGGCCTGTGGCAGGACATACCTAGCCAGTTCCAGTAGTGTGGCTTCGGCTTTGTAAGAGGAAGACCAGGCAGGCAGGTGTGAAATCATGTGGAGCTTTGAAACCAGCTGAGTCTTTGGGTTTTATTCTGAGTACAATAGGAGATTGATGGAGAGATTTATGGAGGGGAGTAACATTTTCTGAGTAGCATTTTTAAAACATGCAGATGGGAGAAGGGAGGAAGAATGGAGAGAGGCAAAATGGAAAGCAGGGATGTCAGCCGGGAGACTTTCACAGTTCAGTCAAGAGGCACTGGTGGCTTGAACTAGGGCAAAAGGAAGGGAAAGTACAAGATCAAGAAAGACTGGTTATTTGAAACAATCTGATTTTTTCAGAATTGTCCGATATCAAAGAAAGTAACATTTCGTGATCCTTTTAATTTTTGGTTCTTCAGGAAAATTTTATAACATAGGCGATCAGAGGGGCCATGGAGAAGATCACTGCCAATTCGTGGACTCATTTTTAGACGGACGCACAGGACAGCAGCTGACTTCTGAGCAGTTACCCACAAAAGAAGGTATGTTTTCTGAGCATCCTCATAAGCAAGAGCGTTTTAGAAATTAACCCAAAAAGAATTCAAGCTGAGGAAAACAATCGTTTTAAAAATAATTCTATACTAGCACTGTTATAATTATCTGGGTAGAAAGAAAAAACTTTCCTAAGCCCTTAACTTGGTAAGAAGATTTTAATGAAAATTTCTCAGCCTTCCTCCCAGTCCCTAAGACTATTCCTTAGGGCCAAGGAAAGCTACACACAGACATATATAAATGCATTCTACTTCAAGGAAACCTGGAGAGAGAGTAGTTTCCTGAACTTAAATCATTCATATATTACCTTTATATTTTTTGTCCATACAGAGCATAGCCATTTTTTTTATTCCCTTAAAAATTTTTTTAAACAAAGACTACCACAAATGGGAAAACAGTATTATTTGCCTTAATTATATAAATTCAATTAAAACAGAATAATTCTTTTAAGAAATGAGTAACCACTGTAATGCTGAAGACACATTAGCACTAAGCTGCTTAATGAGGATTAAAGAAAATTAATTTATTGTCCAGGAGGGGCAGGAGAGGGCAAACTAAATGTCTATATTACTCAGGAATCACCAAGACGTTCGTTAGATACTTTAAATTATTTCACTAGTCTTTCCAGCAACACATTTTCTTCACTGGCACCTAAAAATACCCACCAAAGAAAATGTGCCACAGTGAACCCATGAACGGTAAGTGTAGGAATCTCATAGGAACTGTATACAAGCATGCTGTAAATAGTGTTTCTATAATATTTTACATTCACGGAAAAATTTTAATCATTTAGTATAGGATACTTGAAGATTTCACCGAAGTTTAATTCTTAGAAACTTAGCAAGCTGAGAACTACCTTTCTTATGTTTCTTAACACTGTGGTAAATATAGCACCTTGACTCAGGTCAGTTCTTCAGACCACCACGAGTCTGCAATGTGCAGAAAGTACACTTTCACATAAGACAGAGTGTACTGGACATGGTCAATGACACTAAAAACAAGCCTCCCCCCAATTCTTGCCCCTTTCCAACTTCGTTCCCCAGACACTACCAACAGTCCCATGCTCATTAAGGAGTTTCAGGCACCCCTGATGTTTAGCCATCCACTGCTGCCTCAGGAAAAACACCAGGGCCCCTGTTGGTATCCACTTCCTAAAGCAGTTCACAGAAAGTAACCTTCAGCCAATCTATGAGCAATGAGGGCAAAAATATAACACAGCTTTTATAAATAATTCTCCCTCTTAGGTTATTTCAGAGCAGTTCGCCAGGAACCTGTCCAGTTTGGAGAAATCGGTGGTCACACCCAGATCAATTACGTTCAGTGGTATGAATGTGGGACCACAATTCCTGGAAAATGGTAGATGCTACAATCATTCACAAGTGCCTTCTGTTTCATCACGGCAAAAAATAACTGCAAACACTATGGCATTTGTCACATTCATTTAAAGCTATTCTGTTTACTATGTATAAAAGTTTAAAATCTAATTGATAGCAGTATTAGATGTTTATTAGAAAGATTGCTGAGAATATTTATCAGGTTTTACAAAGTCATTTTAAGAAAGCAAGATATTAACAGAGTAACTTTTTTTTGGGGAAGCTGGCTCCCTAGTCATGGTATTTTAAGAGATCATTTGTATATTATTTATCACACTGTTGTAATGTTTTGAGATACTTTTATAACAAAATTAACATCAAAAACTAATATACTTTTTTAAATGTTTACTTTTATTGTGTATTCTTCCTACTAGTGAGTTAATTCCATAAATCTCTCCTTGGTTTAACTTATTAGATGAGATTAATATCAGCATATATATCTGGGGAAAAAAGGTCCTGATATTCACGTTTATTTAAACTTCAATTTTTTAGCAATAGCTGAATAGCTTTTCTGAAGCATTTAAATAAACATTCATGTGAATATACATTTCCTCAAATATTTGCAAATTGTTAAAAGGGTTTTATTTGAATTAGTAAATTTCATTTCAGCTAAAAATAGAATTAAGAATGATATATTGTTTCAAAAATACAAATTTTTTCTTACTCATAATTATATATTACAATGTCTGAATATACTTTGTCAAACTATCCTTTAAACAACTGTCTTCATATTGTTTTTACAGGATATTTACTACATTTTTACACATAAAAGTTCTAGAAATGAATGTATCAGGGGATGTTTTTCATATTGTAACTTAACCTGTACTGAAAATCAGACTCATTTTTATTTAAAAAAGTATTTTTGTCATTTGGGAAGGGAGGTGGGAATGCTGCATTGTTTCCCTCATTCTGAGAGGCCCCTGGGCTTTACCCCTTTCAACATGCTTCAATTTTATCAATGCTACATTCTGTACTTTTCAAACAAGTAGAAACTCTGCAATAAAGAGAGATAGTTTTTGTTTTTTAAGGCTGAGTTCTTTATTTCTGAATGGCTCATCTCTGTAAGGATACTTATTCAAGATCTACCAAACCCCTGGTATCTTTTAATACTGTATCTGTTGTGTTCATACATAAAGCTACTCTATCTTCCCGAGACATATATTTTCAAGTTTAATTCTTTTAAGCCAATGATTGTTAAATGCATTTTTTCCAAGTCAGGACAAAAAATCAAACAGTGCTGTGGTTCTCTAAATAGAACTGTTCTAAGTTAAACCATCTATATATTTCATTTTCAGACAAAACATCAATAAGGATTGTTTCTTGTTTTTCTCGTATATGTTAGTGACTAAATTAAACTACAAGACCACTAATGGATTCAATCATCTTTATTAACCTATCAATGTTACATTTTATACATAATATCTATTTGTCTTTTCAAAGAGATCTACTTTTAGTACATCATGTTAATAGTAAAAAGCCAAATAAGATGGCTAAATTTCAACCTAACATTTTAATAACCTCTGGACAAGGCAAGCTATAAAGTCAATCACTTTACACACATTAAGAGTAGTGTTCCAAAATTACTAGGAAGCTGCTATACTTTTAAGCAGGGAAGGAAAAAATTTTCATTTTGGTCGGTTTTGTGTTCTAGCAAATTATACTTTCAATTAACAGCAACAATGATATCATAAAAAATGCTCTGCTTTTTAAATTTCTGAACTTCAATACAAATTAAAATAAAATAGTAGTATTGGAGTCTTTTGGGAGGCAAATAGCTAGCAGCTACATTTATCAGTGTAGCCGAGCCTCTTTATCGATAACCAGGTCCAGGCTGGGTATAGCCCTGACCAAAGGGAGGGCGGTTACGTGCGTAAGGGTTAGGCCCACTTGGAGGAGGGTTCATGGTACTTGCAGACTGAGTAAAACCTGGTCTTGGTTGATAGGCCCCAGGTTGGCTTGGAGCCATTCCAGGTTGTGAGGCAGGGGCCACAGTGTAATTAGCAGGCTGAGAAGTTTGGGTGGCGTAAGTGTGTGGAGGGTAATTGCTCGCCTGGTACTGCTGCGGCTGCTGAGCAGGCAGTTGCTGAGGCTGACCGGAAAAGGCAGCAGCTTGTGCCTGGGAAGTTGCTTGCTGGCCATATCCCTGGAACTGCTGAGGTTGCTGTGGTCCGGTCTGCTGACTATAGCCTGCTGGAAAGGCAAAATAAATAATGTATGTACTGTATTTTTCTGTTGATAAAAATTTTCCAGAGAAACAACCTTTACTGTTATGGACCAAAAATGATGAGAAATTTAACAAACTTAATCCTAAGTATTTATGTAACAAGTAGGGTAGTAGACTCTATCATGTAATATTATTTCCAGACCAAGTGGTATCAAAATTTTTCTCAAGATTTCGTAAATCTGCTCATCTTAAACTGAAACCTGTATACCTATCTTTCTTCATTACAATTGCTTTTAGATTATATAATCCCTGAGAAAAAATTCCTATTCTAGCATAATTCCTAGTATAGATGCTCAAATGATAAAGGCCAGAAATAATGCAAAACTAGTCAGGCCTTCCCTCAAAACCAGGTTCATATTTAACAACAGTACCAAATGAAAACATACTGCAGAGAATGAATATTTTAAAATGAAACAATGGTGCTACTACCCCATCTAATTGTGATATTGAGATGCTTTAAAGGTTTAGTCACTCTAGAAAAACTAAACCATTTAAGAATAAACATTAAGTAACCAACTCTTAAAATCTTTCACTTTTCTTAAGATTTGGTATCCGATGTTTTTTTGCCTTTACAACTCAAAATTATGATTTAGCAGTAACAAAATAACACATAAAAAGCATACCATACTGCCCCACAAAACAACATCTATATTCATTTACTAAGGATGTAAATTTTTTAAAAAAAAAGTCTGCTTCACTAAAAACTTTTATCTCTACCATGAAACACACCTGCAGCTACTTGCAATGAAACCTCTCCATTGACTGGAATCCTGTCAGCATTAAATACCAGATACATAAGAAAATTATTAAAATATGTACAACCCTGCATTTGAAAAAAAAGGATTGAATGAATTTGAGTATATTCTGAACTCACCTTGAACCTGGGTTCAAAATTTACTCATGAAAGAAACCTTTTTGACATTGTCCATGAATAAAACTGGAAAAGGTCAGAGGGAAACTGGCAAACCAACAGTGTAAAAATGGTCCAATGTTGTTACCACCACCACTTAGTCTCCAAGCAGAGTATTCAGGTGACTATTCCCATTTCTCCCAATCAAATTCAAGTTAACAGGACTAGTGGGATCATAAATACAAAGACATTTTCAAAAAAGCTAAATTTTACTCAGAGTGGAGACCCTGACTGAAATCATTAAGAGCAAGCTTAATTTTTAATAACTAAAATATCAAATGCATTTTACTTGTGATATCTAAATAGTGAACTACAGTTAATTCATGATCAAATCTTGAATGTCATACAGTTTCTCCTATCTTCTGCATAAAATTTTTTACCTTAAAATTTTTACTGTAATATTTTGGAGAAACAGGACTCAACTTTTATACTGAAAATGTCTATTCAACTTAAGACTGTGAGCAAAAAAACCCCAACTGCCTTTTCATCCTGGCAACTGAAATCTAAACTGGCTTTTTATCTGAGTCTGGAAATAACCAGATCCTTAACTATTTCTTGAGACTAACCCATAAGGGCCTAAGATGCCATTTCATTAGCAACTGACTAGAGTCTTTGACCACAACACGGCAAAACTTCTAACTCATGTGTATAGTTTCCCTCAAACCAACATCCACTCCATTAAAAAATGAGCAATTTTGGTGAAGAATACCAGAAATCACAAGAAATGGAAATTGTTTTCTGAATAAATGAATACTGTAGGACAAGGGGTCAGATGGTCCACAAAACCTGTAATATTTACTATCTAGTCTTTAAGGGCAGAAAAGTGTGCCAACTCCTGGTCTAAGTTTGAGAACGCAGAATAACACAGGGAAGTAATTAACTGGAAAGTCAAGGGCACTGGGTTCTGATTTAGCAACCCCACTGAATGGCTGCATGTCCTTCAATGCATCACAACCTCTTCAGCCCTAGTTGCCTCATTTATAAAATGAGTGGGTGGGACAAAATTAGTGCTCCCAGCCTGCTGCACTTTAGAATGACCTGCAATGCTTTTAAAATATCAAAGCCTGAGTCCCACCCAGACTAAATAAAACAAAATCTCTGTGAGGAGGGCCCAGGCACCTGTAACTTTCAAGAAAAGTTATCTGGATGCTTCTGAAGCACAGTAAGACTGAAATCCCCTCGATTAGATGATCAGATCAGGTCTCTTCAGCTCTAATATCTAGTATTTCTACAAATTGCATAATTTGTAAGTCTGATTTTTCTTTGCGTCTTAAAAATAATCTTCCCTCTAATATCATAATCAAGTTTAAATTCATTCCATTTATTTTATATAATTAAAAACTAGCAGCTACAGGTTAAATCACTCCACAGCAAATATGATCCAGATAAAAACTGCTATGTGTGTTAAGACATGTCAAACTGCAAATAATGGTAAAATTTTATGGTCTAGTTTAGGGACAGAAAAGCTTTATTTTCCTGTAAAGGGCTAGATAGTAAATATTCTAGATTTTGTGGGCCACATGGTCTCTGCTGCAACTACTCAACTCTGCCATTGTAGTGTCAAAGCACCAATAGATAGCACAAAAATGAATGGGTGCAGATGTGTTCTAATAAAACTATCCACAAAAATAGGCAACAAGCCAGATTTGGCCTGTGGGTTACAGTTTGCTAACTCCTGCTACAGTTTATACTACCAAATTTCATAAAACAGAAATTAGGCAAGATTCAGATAAACTAATTATAGCTGAAATTTGATACTTAAATGTTTCACTGTAAAACAAAAGTTGAACACAAACTCTCGCAAATGTAAAAATTACCCGAATTATTATAATCACTATGTTCAAAGCTATACTAAAGCAATTTATCATACTTAAGTATGGATAACCTGTGTTCAATGGTCAGATGATGAAACAAAATCTCCAGGATGCCTATTTAAAACAACTATATTTAATGTTCTTAATTGCCTGAGTTAGGTTTTATACAATTCTATTTTTTTTTCTTTTTCTTTTTTTTGGCCTATTTTTGGTATTCCTATATACTTTGGGGAGATTTGAAAACCTAAGTAGCTTAATTTGATTCTTATGTCAGGGGTGGGCAAAAGCAGGTTTACAGCTGTATGTGAAATAGTTAATAAAGCTATTATAATCATAGCCTGTATGTCTTTTTCCATATGAACAACTGTAAACACACTTTTGCCCACCCCTGTATTAAGATCACCTTTCCATGTATGCGGGAACGAGTATTAGTATATTTTTACAGGCACTAAGAGTATACTGAGATTATGAGTTACATTAATGAAGGAAAAAATCTTGCATTTTTGCAATTCTAAGTCACCTAAGAGGTAAGCTGATCACATCAGTAGGAGATAACTTTGTATTAAAACCTTTTTTATACTACAAGTTATTACAGAATCATCTACTTGCCCGCTAGAAAACTGAAACGTTGATTTGCAATAAAATATTTATGCAAAATATTTTAAAATAAATAAAAACAAATGTTATTTCCCCAATAAATAAATAAGTACTACCTGCTATGACAATGTAAGTATTACAAATCAAAGAATTAAGAGGAAAGGATTAATGTTTAATGAGTATAGCAACAGCTCAAAAACCATGAGCCAGCTCTCTCTGGATACCTGCTCACCTGAATACTGAATGCCATACTGCTGTGGTGGCTGTGGTGGTGCCTGAGGCTGCTGAGCACCATAACCAGCCTGCTGTGGGTACTGTTGGTACATCTGACCTAAAAAAGACAAGAAAAAGAGGCAGGTTTAACTTGGTAGAAAAAATATATACTTTTAAAGGCACATTTAATTCTCTGCCCATCCAAACACATAAACATACTGAGTAACAAAGTCACAAGAATGCTTGTTCCCCTTTAAATGTTAATGAAG